CCCGTACTCATTTATAACGAAAAGCGGGGCTAAAACACGGTGGTACTACCTTACCTTGGCCAATTTTTGTTTCACTTCCGGTTACATTCCCACAGCATGGAAGGTTCAGGTTATTATGCCTATATTAAAACCTGGCAAAGACTCTAGAGATCACTTGTCTTATAGACCGATTGCATTGTCGTCCATACTCCTCAAAATCTTTGAACATTTAATAAAGAACCGTCTAGAGTGGTTGGTAGAGAGCCGGGAGATGCTTCCGGCGACTCAGTTCGGTTTCAGAAAAGGTTTAGGCACTGTTGATAGTGTGGGTACCCTCACTTCAGCGATCCGGCTGGCTCTTTGCAGGGATGAGTCGTTGGTGGCAGTCTTCCTGGATATCTCTTCAGCATATGATTCTGTACTTCTACCCCTTCTCAGGCGGAAAATGCAAAAGCTGAAAATTCCGAGTGGGATTATACGAATTATTTGCTGCCTTCTTACCAATCGCACCCTTCAATTAAGAACTCCTGAGGAGAGCCCTGCACGGCGAATTGCCTGGAGGGGCTTACCTCAGGGATCAGTTCTCAGTCCTATCCTATACAACATATATACCTTTGATCTCCCTTCCTGCCTAAACTTTGATTGTAAATCTCTCCAGTATGCTGACGATATTGCACTGATGGTCACTAGTCATTCTATAGTCGATGCCACTTTCTCTGTGAATGTCTCTTTGGCTTCATTAAACCAATGGCTACTTGATCATGGACTATCTTTGAGTGCTCCAAAGAGCTCTGCTGTTGTGTTTACACGTAGACGTCGTACCCCAGATCTAAATATAAGTATTAACGGTCAGATTATTCCCATTAAGGCGAAGGCCAAATTTCTAGGAGTTACCCTCGATTCCAAGATGTCAGGTGTGGATCACATTGATTCGGTAACTAAAAAAATTGAACGCACCGTATGTATCCTCCAAGCTTTAGCCGGGGTATGGTGGGGTGCACACCCATACACTTTAAAGTTAGTCTATAACGCTTTGGTTAGGAGTGTGTTGGATTACTGCTGTTTCCTGATTATACCTTGTAACAAGGGAGCACTGCGAAAGCTAGATTATATCCAAGCCAAATGCCTTAGGACTATTATTGGAGCAATGAAATCATCACCCGTAAATGCCCTACAAGTGGAATGTGCTGAACCACCTCTTGATCTTCGTCGGCAGTACCTCGCAGATCGTTTCATATCAAAAGTCCTCTCCCGATCATCCCATCCTCTACTTCCCATTTTGGATCAAATTCTCCTCTCCTATGATTCCTCTCCATACTGGCTCCACAAACCTATACCCCCAGTGATTGTCAGATACAGAGAGCTTAAAAATCTTTCGGCCTCTGTCAGTCAATTCCCAATTCTCCCTGTATTCTCTTCTGCATACGAAGCCATCCATTTTAAACCGAAACTTGTTCTGGGGTTAGGTCTTTCAAAATCTTCGGCAAACATTGTTGGAAACTTTGAGCGGGCACTGGAAGTGTATTGGAAGGGCTGGAATGTGTTCTACACTGATGCGTCAAAGTTGACTCAAGAGGGTTGTACAGGGGTGGCAACATATTTTCAGAACTCCAGAATAACTATGCTTTTTAAGTGTCCGCCAGAGGCTTCAGTTTTCACGGGAGAATGCGTTGCAATCTTGGAAGCTGTGAAATTTATTAGAAGTCATAATATTAAAAATTCTGTAATTTTTTCAGATTCCCGTAGTAGTATTCAATCTTTAGGTCAAAATCAGTTACACACCAAAATCCATAGCCAGCTAGTTGTAGATATTAAACACCTCCTTTGGTGTTGTCATAATGAAGGGCTTAATATCGAAATAGTTTGGATCCCTGGCCACTCTGGCATACGCGGAAATGAATGTGCTGATGCGTTGGCTAAGTTTGCTACGTCAGGTGATGTGGAACGCCATCATTTTGTTATACCCGGCTATGATATCCGAGCCGACACAAAGCGAAAGCTCTATGACACGTGGTCTTCAATATGGAAAAGTACCTCACAGCGTAAAGGAGCTTACTACGCTTCCGTCCAACCTAGCATCCAGAGGAAACCTTGGTTTTTTAAATTTCGTAAAATCCCAAAACAAGCAGTCACGTCCTTGTGTAGACTTAGACTCGGCCACTGCAGTAGTCCAGTTTTTTTGTACAAGATTCACATTCGTGACAACTCTGTATGCGAATGTGGTCTTGATGAGGGTACCCTCGAACATATATTTTTTTCTTGCTCCATAAACTCCCAATATCTAGACCCCTATAGAGAACTCCCTAATATTAAAATTCCCCTCCCAATTAATTTTCGCTCACTATTAACCAATTTTTATCCTAAACTCATTAACCTTTTGGCAAAATTCATTATTAAAAATAATATTAAAATCTAATATATAATGAGAGTACCTAATATAATATAGTGAATGTGCTTTAAATTTAAATGTCAATGCCATTTTTTGTCCCTTTTCTATTTATATATATAATCTGTAATGCCCACACCTGCCGTAACACATGACGCTGGCAGAATAGTCAACTACTAAATAGTGGAGACTCAATTGCCATAGAAGAAAAAAAAAAAAAAAAAACTATCTAGCTGATGCGTGTTCATCGCTGCTCTAAACTTGTTCATTTGTAAAGGTATGTAACTAATACGAGTAGCGAACTAATAAAGTTACATACTCTGACAATTTATAATTTGTTACCGCTTCGTATTCGAATAACTTTTCTATATATTTATAATAAAGTGGAACGATTTCTTTACAATAGGTATTAATGAACGTCATTTCACTGATTAACTTATTTTTGTAACACAAACAGTGCACACACAAACACAGAAAGCTTTAAGAACAGAGTGGAAGGAGGGTAGGGAGGGCTTTGCCATGCAGTGGGACAACCATGGCTAAAAATAAAAATAAATAAACAAACAGTGCAACTAGTGTATCAGTGTAATATGATTGGCTGCGATTATCGCACAGTTTATTATGGTGGCCAATGTGGTATGTTGTGTTTACTTCGTACCTTGAAATCCAAATTATATCATTTGAATATTACCCAACCTGCCCTATTACCACGAAGAGTTATGTAGACTGCATCGTTGGCTGAGTGGTCGCAAGTGCGACTGCCGGGCAAGGGGTCTTGGGTTCGATTCCCGGGTTGGGCAAAACTACTACAGGGTTTTTAAAAAAAATCTCAATAGTAACACGGATTCTGAAATTGTGCCCGGTATGTGGCAATAGGCTCACCCCCTATTACATGGGACTCATAACATAAATAGTGAAAAGTGGGTGTTACATTGTACAGTGGCATAATGTGCACCTCTGCCTACCCTTTCCAGGATAAAAGACGTGATGTTATGATGTGTAATTATGTATACTTACTTTATCTAAATACATAGGAACAATGCACAGGAAGCTCAGAGAATCTTTTAATAATTAAGTGAATAAGAATTTGTGTCTTAAGTTAAAAACTAAACTGAGGAAACTACAGTGTAGTGTAGTGCTCTAGTGTACACAGTATTCATAACGGAGCAAGCCTGGTCAATGGTAACAACCATTTCATAGCTTTTGCTTACATTGACTTACTGATTTGGCTATGGTCAACTTGTCGAAACACTTTGTAGGAACATTAAACTGTCAATCACCGAGCGGTCACCGTTGACCGCAACCTATTATTCTTTAATTGTGTCTATAAATACGGTACTCGACGAGTTAATGTACTATACTGTGACAATACAAAATAGTTTCATACCAATTATGTAGTTATAGGTACTCATCTCAAAATGTACAATGTCAATGTACAATTTATATATACCTACTGTTGCTTTGTATTAAATTCTGTATAAGAGTTAAAGAAATATTTAATTCGGAATACCTATTTATACTACTATGTACTTATCATATTAAATACAAGTGTCTTTATTTATTATCATCAATATATAATACTTTTTCAAGATTGTTTTAATGTTTCATTTATTTTAATATTCAATAAATTGATATTTTTTTTATTTAAAAGTACCAAATTAATATATTACTATGTTCTCAGAATCTTTTGCATTTTTAATAAGGAGGTAGTTTTAATAAAAACATCTGCTTTGGATAAAATAAAACATTTGTTAAATCAGGCATGTGACGTGTCATATTCTTATTTACTACTATGTTCTGGCAACGGCTTCGTTCACATTCCCAGGGGAAACAACCTATGTTAATCCAGACCATAATCTACTTGTGTTCCTCACGCCAGTCCCTTCAGCTGTTGTCGAAGCTCTGTCGGGTTGTTAATAAAACAGAAGACTGCACAATTCATAGGTTTATTCCACAAATTACAATCAAGACCGGTGGTGCGCCGACACAAAGAAATGCCCGAAAGCTATGGCGTTAGTGAACCGAGTATGTAGATAAAAAAGCGCGGCGCTCGCGCGGCCGTGGGTTGTTATACCACCGTCGCGCCGACAGCCATACATATAACTTGTGAACATATTTTCAAATTTATAATATCGGTTCAAGCTAATTATAACCATCGGCCCTACAGTAACAGCGCAAAGTCCAATGCAGGTAACCTTACATTCGACAAACTTATATTTGCGTTTGGTACAGAGAACTGTGACTGTTAAGTTTGTTTTTTCGTCTGTATACTTTTTTTAAAACTACCCAGTGTTGTGCCCAGGATATTAAAGTATAATTCTACGAAGTTTCATCGTTATCGGACCGGTACTTTTGTGATGCGTGAACATACAGACAGACAGACTGACAAAAAATATTTTTAATTACATTTTTGGGTTCAGTATCTATCTAGTAACACCCACCACTATTAACTTTTTTAATATTTTCAATGTAAAGAATTTACACTTGTACAATTTTATTATTATGTATAGATATAGATAGAATATTATTTCCATACCTAACAATCGTGAATTAATACCTAATACAAACAGAACACAATTGACAGATAGTACAATAATTTTACATGTTTGCTTTCAGAAATATTGGAGAGAAGAAAATGAAGACGGCTGTAACTGTTCTGCAGGAAATGATGGTGAAGATGGGCCAGACACCAGAATATGAATGTATAGCTCAGGTGGGCTCACTAATCCTATCTATTCAATGATAGTACAAAAGGAGATGATGTCTGGTATCAGTCCGGTCAAGCCAGCCCATTCGTGCCGAAGCATGGCTCTCCCACAGTTAGGTACGCTTTTGCACGGTAATATGACATACGTTTACCGGTATAAGATTCAGGAGATAAAATCGTTACATTAAATGATAATTAGATAACTACAATTGTCGGAGGTCGAGGGTAGATCTTCATAGAGGTACCAGGGCCCCGGCACGGAGTAGGAGTTGGAAATAGGTGGATATTAGTCAGTAACGATCTGATGAAGATATTCCAAGGAAAACAAAAGACTACAACAAAAACTTATCGCACTACAAACCCAATTGCTTTAGCAATTTATTCTAACAATATCGACCGTTATTTTGCGTTTCCCAGCACCTTTAGAAAGTAATAAAAGTATGAAAAAGCAGAATCTTTTAACTGGTATAACTTCTTCATCTTAGATCCTACAACTTTTACGCCATATTAACTTTTGCTCCAAATGGATCTAGATCTTACGATACGTACCATTGTTTTTCGTTGGCACTTTTAGAAAAAGCCCATAAAAAGATCTAGTTTACTGGGTTTTTTACGAATAGATACCTACATATCATACCTAGACCAGCTTTATAGTTAAAAATTGCTAACTATAGTAACATTGTCGTTAGAGCGGGCCGCAGCACCAAGCCATGTTCGACTACCGCTGTATGGCGTGCGGCGTAGTAGTGACGGCCACGGCGCGGTCCAAGAAGGAGGCCAAGCAGGAGGTCGCGCGCCTCATGCTGCAGCAACTGTCGCGCCGTGGGCACGCCGTGCCGCCGCCCTACGCCGCGCCCGCCGCGCCCTTAATCCAGGACACGATCCCGGTATTATGCTGACTTCGCAAGACTACTAACGATTGACAATAATTTTAGAACAGTACTAATATTGTTTCTGATCTTATTGAATACTTGATAAGGGCGGGACGAGCGGTTCCTGTGACGTGCGAAGCTACGTGGCGCTGCTGAAGGAGCTGTGCGAGGAGTACCGGCTGCCCGCCGTGACGTACGAGCTGGTGGGCGACACAGGCCCCCCGCACCTGCGCCACTTCACGATGCGCGCGCGCATCGGCCAGCACGAGCGCGTGGCCACGTCCACCACGAAGAAGGCGGCGCGCCAGCTGGCCGCGGAGGAGCTGTACTCGTACCTGCGCGAGCACCTGGCGCGCGTCACCCGGGACTTTAACGAGGTCTCGTGAGCCCTGTCATAAGTTTTCAGTTGTTGCTATTGACTTATTTATTTTAATTCACAATGGCATTAGACAGAAGTAAAAAAAGGTTATTTTTAGAGTACACTTTGTTATAAACACATAACGTAACATCACGCCTTTTATCCCCGAAGGGGTCGGCAGAGGTGCACATTACGACACTTAATGCCACTGTACAATGTAACACCTATTTTTCACTAATTATGTTATGAGTCCTATGTAATAGGGGGTGAGCCTATTGTATATATAGTATAGTTTCAAGAAGACAAAAAAACATCCAAATAGCTATCTATTTGAAGGTAGCTCTTACCCAGTAGTTACCTACGTGCGTAGTACATACTTGATGTGCTTTTTCCGATTTCCATTTTGCAAACTTGGAAGAACAGCGGCCAAAAACAGTTTTTCGAAATATCTGTTGTCCTATGCATTTTACGAGAAAACATCTATAAAATTAATGTCGAAATACTCAAACGCTATTCAGTTTTAAGTCGCGCAACTCGCGCATGTATAGATCTGTCACTACAAACTGTACAATGACAGAGATGGCACAAGATTTAAATACTTACAACTTAAAATTGAGTACCTTTTCAGTATTCGGGCGTAAACTATTTACTTTTTTCTACAATTTATGTGTATACCTATTTAAGTTTTTTATAAAGTAAGTATTTGGCGCCATTGCACCGCAAACTACATATCAGTGAGAATATTAAGAGGAAAATTTATTTCCACACCACGTGGAGATAGAGCAAGCGGCGCGATGTTTTATAGTGTAATCATTTAAAGGCCTGCCCTAGTGCTTATTGGCTATGTGCAAAGCGAGTAGTGGCGGACAGATAACGACCGCAGCGCACAACACGGCAGAAATTGGAAACAAATGGGGATGATCAGCTGTCAAATGTGTTGATTGCAATACAAAATCAAAGCAAAGAAATGGGCCATGACTGTTGTTGCGTTGCTCTGGCCGTTATGTCGGAGTTCTTCCACATTTTTTACATGCTTGGCTAATACTAATTTATTGCCTTTTATCTCAGTTTGCGGTTGGAAACTAATATTATGTGTAATAGTTTCAAATCCGGTTTTTGTTATTATATTCATTTTACAGTAAAGCTATTAAATAAATTGCACTTAACTTATGTCAACAACACTATTTTAATTTTTGGTTTTATATAGAATTGCAAAGAAAATTATAATGTTTACAATGTTATTTGACAGCTTCCGCAAATGTTGTAAACGCTACGCGTCGCCACCGTCATGCACATAGCCAATATAATTGTGATACACACTTTCGAATCGCACATAGGCGATTTCGTCTTGGACCCCATCGATATGTCCTAACCGTTATTTTTTAACGAAAATACTTGTAATGATAACAACAAAATCGCATCGCAAATAATCCGCGTGGAAATTGCCGATTTTCAATACTCCCGGAAAACGTTTCAGGCAGGACTACCAAATTACTGAACTAGCACGTAAGCAAAGAGTATAATAAGTGTAGGCCGGGAACACATAAGTTAGTACTAGTGCCTTGACAGTTCTTACTTTTTGTTTTTTTTTCTTTAATGGCATCCGGGTCTCCAATATAGTGGTGTCTTCTTTACAGTATACTGCCAGTGCCAAAATCAGTTCTTACCGTAGAGGTATTTCACATCTATTTATTTATATCAATGTAGGTATCTCTCATCTATAGATTTAATTTTAGCCTATTAGCCTAAGGGCCTGTTTCACAATATCTGGATAGCCGTTATCTACCAGTTAAGTTTGAATTAAGAACATAATTTGTATGAACTGTCTGTCACATAAGTTTATCAGGTACTTATAAGGAGGTAGTGAAACCGGCGCTAAAAGAAGCAGGGACGTCAGTACCTGTAACGTTTTTCAAAATACAGCTACATAATCTAATCTAGTTATTTATATTTGTATGAATGTTAACAGTAATTTCTTGTTGCCTTATATCGTGTATAAATTATGTGATTTGTACAAATAATCTTCTTGATACATTTTTTTAATATTGTTTGTAATTAAAAATAACTATTTATTTTCTAATGCATCTGTTTAGTGCTTACCTAATAATTATCAAAATCTAAGTATAGAAAATGTTTTATATTGAAAATAGCATTTAGGAAATTATTCTAGATTTAATTCATTTCCAAAGTTAAATGAACCTTTTTTTTCTAGTGCAGAAGTGAATCGACTGTAGTTATTTTATAGCCCATAATAACCTTCAATAAATTAACACAAATATAATTATTCAACTCGAACCAGTAGTCCTAGAGATGGCATGTAATCAAACTCTCAAATCACAACCTGTGCAGGAGGACGCGCTGGTGCGTGCGCACGAGAAGGCCATGGAGCGCTACGTGGAGGGCGAGGAACACTTGCGCCGGCCCGATCTAGGACTGCGCATCGCGGACTACCACCTCGCACTCGTTGCGCGACTCGGTAATGTTGTTTATACCGTCACCATTTTTAAAAGAAAACGTTTTTTGTTTATTAACCAATTATAATCACGTCTTTTACACCCGAAAGGGTAGGTAGAGCTGCATATTGTGGCACGTTCAATCCACTGTTCACAAGTTATGAATCGTGCCCGGTACATGGCAACAGGCTAACCCATTATTACATGATACACGCATACACAGTACACGCATAGCATAATATGTATAAATACATTCTTTGTCAACTCTTCTCTTCATACATAACGTATCAGACATCATATGAGACTCGTTCTACCTTGGGCTTGGGCACTCAACTAAACAGGATTGAATGGTTTTTTTTAAGAGCGGAAAAAAAACATCGAATTACTTCTCTCGCCTGAGTGAAGCGGGAGGGAGTGTCCGACTCTTACTAACTAAAAACCACCCCGTTCTTACTCCTGCACTTCGAACCGGAACCCCGGTAACCCGAAGTTCTCCGCGGCAGGATTAAGGGTTACTTAGATACTAGTCTAGAGCAGGGATTCCCAAACTACGGGTCGCGACCCATCGGTGGGTCGCAAGCGAATTTTTAGTGGACCTTCTTTATAGATTAACACACTAACCACCCGTTCTTTGTTTTATGCTATTTATATTGGTAACGGTTTAATTTCTTTAAAGTGGGCCCTCACTTTGCGATCTTGATTTAGATAGGTCGTAGTCCAGACAACTTTGGGAACCACTGGTCTAGAGAACAAGTTTGTGTCGATTGCAGACGAGGACACGCGCGCACAGGCGCTGGCAGCGCTGGAAGCGGCGCGAGAGCTGCCACCCGAGGGCGCGCTGGACGCCGTGGCGGCGGCGCTGCGGCTGCGGCTGGACGCCGCGGTGCTGCCGCCGCTGAGCGCGGTGCAGCTGTCGGGCGCCGGCCCGGACCTGGCCTTCGCGGGCGCCACGCCGCAAGCCGCCGCAGCCGACGCGCTCGACTATCTGCGCCGCGCGCTGCAACTAAACACGCCGGTCCCGGTCGACTTACCGAACCACCCTGGCATTGATGAAATTATGCGACCTGTCCTCACTGACCTGATTGACGATGATATGATCATGTAAAAAAGTATACAATAATACATATATTATGTATAACCTTTTGAACGCCACATCAAAAAAGCAAGCCTCAGCGCTAAGCTCAAAAATTCATAAGTAGAAGTTTTTTGAATTTTTACAAGTTTTTGTTATCATAATATGTAAATATGGACAAAAAAAGTAGATCAATTAATATAAGTAAGAAAGTGTCAAAGACAATTATTACCAAAAAGAAATTATGGCATGTAGGCTGTGCCATGCTGGGTACTTTTTGGCTGACTTGATTTGCTCTTGTTATCTGTACATGACTGGCGGTCAAAAGGGCTAACAAATTAAAATATATAATAATATATTATTTGTTCCTTTTGTATTTTTTGTCCAATCAAACCCCGCAGAACTATGTATATAAACACTCATAAGAACCCTCCAAATAAAGTTCTTCCTTCAAGGCTAGAAACTTGTAGGAAGATCATTTTTAATAGGTAAAGGGCAATAGTCACGACCTGGCAGTCGGCAGCTCTGCACACAATCATACATTTCACTTTTTAAAGTATAAAATGACGACAAACACCTTACTATCAGGTAATCCATTTGTTTGTTTGTTAGCCTTTCTACATAAAAATGAAACAAAATGGAAACAAAATGAAAGCATTTATTGTATAAATCAAACATATTGAAAAGAAAATGAATTGAAATAATTTCATTCAGAATCATCAATGTCTGACGAGTCTCTACGACGAGCCTTTGAAGCTAAGTTATGAATCCATGTAGCAGATCTCTGTGCTGCCGAGCGACGCGGCGTACTTCGGCGCTCGGTAACAGTAGCGACCGGCGAGGTGGGCGCTGCCACCTCGTCCCGGCCGCGGCCCCGAGTGCGCGAGCCGCGGGCGCGCGAGCCCCGGCCTCCGCGTGATCCTCGTCCTCTTCCCCGCGCAGTAACCTCCATTTCCCCTTGTAACTCTTCATCACTGGATCCTTCAACTACAATTTGTTCCGACACAGGTGGTGCTTTTAGCGCAGCTAGCTGTGTAATGTCGGCAGAATCGATTTCGTCTCTGAGTACTCGAAGACGGTCGGAAATCGCTTCAATTTCGGTATCTGTGTTTGATTCTAGCAGAGTAGTAATACAACGCCGCCTGTGTGCCTCCAGCACATGTCGTAAGATATCCTCGTTTTGCTTGAGAGTGTAATCACGCACTGCCTCTGTCATTAATTGTACAGGCAAAGCAGCGAGGCGCCGTTCTGGCGGCATGGCTTCGTAGTAGGACTGTAGCAATGTCTCAACATCGGTGGAGTCAGCAACATAGTCTGCTACATTGATCTCGTCGCCTTGTCCTTGTCGTCTTTCACGTATTTTTCTTTCTCGCTTCAATAAAAGAATGTCATTTGAATTTGCCACTATGCCATTGAAATTTTGTCCAAATCTTGCTCTATTAAATATCTGATCTTCTCGTTCATAAAACACACTAATTCTTATCAATGGCATGGTTGGTTGCCTAGGATCACCAGATAAAAGATTTTTCGCTTCAACAATGGCCTCATTAACCTTTTCTTTAAGAAATTCTTGAACCTTTTCACTTTCATTGACATCTTCATCTCCAAGATTATGTTCGGACAACACCACAGTTTTGAAAATAAATGGTCTGACAGTTTTTAAAGGTACAGCAGTTAGAATGAAATCAGTTTTATGGATTTGAAGCATTGCACAATGTTTAGGTCTAGCTTCTCCTGCAGCCAGTGAGGTGGCCACAGTGCTGCCAGGCTGGATGACATTGAAATGATTCTTTTCACTGCTACCTTTCATATCAAACAATTCACAATCATGTTCATGACCCCACACTACTAGATCTAAAAATTTTGGTAATTCATCTTCCTTAATAAAATTACCAGCTCCTCTATCTTCGGCTCTGTTCTGATGCAGTACCAGTATATTAAACCAGTCATGTTCCTCATCACGTAGCATTTCTACTTTTTTCTCTTGAAAAAGACGTGACAAGCGTTGGTCTTTCAGATGGCTCAAACCATACAAGGCAAGTTTGGTGGCACCCTTTTGTAAGAGCACTGGCGAGATACGTACGTGTGTATAGTCGGTCCATTTGCCGAAATAGTTCACTAAACCGCCTGTAGAGAGTATATCAAGACTGCTTATACCTTCACGGCCCACAGGATCGTCGTGATTACCATGTATAGATAGTATCGGATATGACACATTCAAGTTTGGATCTTCATAATTAACGCTTCGAGAAAAGTTAACAGTCTGGTCTGACAGTAACTCGATGCTTACCGGCTTATCGCCAAAACAATACTTACGAACGATCTCAGTGCACTTATAAATACAATTAAGTGAGGGCTTTGCATGATGGAATAAGTCTCCGCCGAGTAGCACCAGATCAACATCATACTGAACAGCCAATGATAATGTTTCTTCAAAAGCAATAAAGCTATCCTCACCTCGAACAGGATGCTCCTCTAAGTAACCTAAATGGATATCGGAAGCGATCAGTATTCTAATTGTTTCATCTTGCGACCACGCACTTGAATCATTTCCGACCATTTTTCTCAAATTATACAATCTGTAATTACTTTTGTAGATGATTTGGATGATCACTTTGAACGACTAACTTGTTTATTTTTATTTCTTTCAATAAACCGCCATCATCATTTTTAACTTGACACTTAAAATAACACAAGCCCAGCGTTGACGTTGACACGCGCTTGATTGACAGTTGCCAATTGCCGCTACCGCTATTCTCTTTGGTTTAGTTGCCGCCCATGGATGCCGCCCCGCAATAGTTTAGTAGTTTTCTTATACTTCTATATACCTAACATAACATCACGCCTTTTATCCACGAAGGGATAACCAGAGGTGTACATTATGCCACTGCACAATGTAACACCCACTTTTCTCTATGTATGTTAAGAGTCCCATGTAGGGGGGGGGGGGGGGGTGAGCCTATTGCCATATACCGCCGTGCTACTACTGTGAATTATTTGAAAAACCCAGTAATACTTGCGACCACTCGGCCAATGAAAGTCAAAGTCAAAGCATTTATTTCAATTAAACCATAATTTGGTACTTTTTGAAACGTCAACAAATATAAACTCCGTTCGTTACTCTTTTAAAAGTATGTTACATATTCCAATACTGTACGTATAATTATGTGAGAACAATGCAAAGACACGCTTGAACAACGTACTAATTACAAACCTTACAAAATTGAAAAAATCTAACTGTCTTAGGCATGAGGCAGTCTTAGTTAAGTTATACTTCTATTTACTGGAAAAAACTTTGGTGAGAATAAAAAGTAATCTAGTTTTGAATGCTGAAATGGAAAATATACAATACAAGAACTTACCCCCAGCATAACAGAAATTACGTGCTGGCGCTGGCTGGATATCATGTCACAGCAGTGTTCACAAAATGTTTTTTTAAATCTATTTATCACTTTTTAATGTAAGCAACATTGTCCCTGACAAAGTGACAACCAGACTGACAAGATAGTTAGCAACTTGTTAAATGAATTTAGTAATGTGATAAAATGCGAAATTATTTACATTGCGACGTAGATATCATTTTTAATGTAAACGTAAAAATATGAATACCGAGGGCAGTCCTTTAAATTATTTATGGATAATCTCCGAAAGAAAAATAGTGTTAAGTTGAAGAGAAAGTGTCGTGAAATCGGACAGTCGTCGCCTTCAATGATGTGGAAGAGGTCGATTGTGCAAGCGACGACTGGGTGCGCGCGCGCCACCGCGGCCCTGGCCATGCTGCTCACTGTATTCGCGGTGAGTTCGCCAATTTATCGCAGCAGTACTTGTGGGCACAGCTGCACAAGTCCTGAACGAGCTACATGCTAGCTATGTTTTTGTTTGTACAAACAATATCAACAAACATTGATGAGAACTCTTTACTATAATAATACCTATCATTGGTAAATAAGTTGAGATAAAAAACAATAAATTACATATGTTAAACATTTGCATGCCTTCCTTGCAACCATTAGGGCAATTTCAATTTAGCTAAACTTTTTGAATTCTTCTGTCTAAAAACCAATACAACATAGCCATACTTGTTCTTTTACTTTGTTTATATTTTAGAAGTAAATGACTTATTGGTATTAAGTAAATAATTTATTAGTCTATTACAATTTGGTTAGAATTTTAAATATTTTATGCAATGTTTAGTGTTTGATAATTGATTACACTTTAGACATAGCCACAAATAAAAACAAAAATATACCTGAGAAAGTATGATAATCTATCAATATAGATCACCTCGCACACTCCAATGAGTGTGCGAGGTGAATGTTTCAATTTGTTCACATACATTAGTAAATTCCTAATCTCTACAAAGAAAGTTTCATAACCCGTTGGAAATTGTTGTCATCTCCTAAATTTGTCCATACAAAAGTAGTCTCTAAACATTGGAAATAAGGTCTATAGCATAGTTAGTGGAGAGTGGTCACCGGTGACCACTTGGGGATATATGGGACAAAATTAAATTATATGATTTGGGACTAAAACGGGTATCGGTTCCTGGGATCCAATCCTATCACATCTGGACCTAGTGAAAATGTTGTGAAACTGTAGATGATTTTGTAAACTGTAAATTATAATAACATTTAGTTTTGTTTTAACCTGTGGTCGGTAGGTTCTTTTAACTTAGATCTGTGCGAGACACAATGTATTTTCTATTATGTCTTATATACTGGCCGTCAACAGGGTTAATGGGTTTATTTGTGTTTTATATTTGATTTTTTGTAATCTTTCTTTTAAAAATTCCAAAAAAATCTGTTTGTTTTTATTTCAGTTATTTGTTTGTTTTATTTTATATTTATTTACGCAATTTAATAGCTTATACATACATTCTTTTGTAACACCATCATGTATATACCTATGTTATACAATTAAATATTCTGATTCTGAAAATGGAGAACGTAACTTTTCAAATTCAAAAATGAATATAGAAAATTGGTCCACAATTGTCACAGTAATCAGTGAAAAAAGCAATCATCCGAACACAAAATCCTTCCCCATTTTTGATGTCACTAAAAATAACTTGTTAGTTCCAACTTGTCAGCATCAAAACCTCCACAATTTGAAATTGTAGTATGAAAAAAACAATAAGATCGCAGAACTTCCAGAGGTATGTACAACATTCTGAGGCTAGTTTATATTTCAGACCATTTATTATTTGACACATTTTCTAAGTCTTAATATTTGTGTGTCTAAACATGGATCCACGTGAGACACAACATATTTTCCATTGTGTCTCATATCAGTTTATTCAAGCGGTTAAGGGTACCCTGAATTTTAAGTAAAAATCATTTATGTCAATTATACTAGGCACTTTCGAACATCAAACAAAATATTAAATATGGCAGTCTATCGGGCAGTCCTTTATTGAAGCTATTTGCTCATTCCAAAGTGTAGTTGTATATAGAGAGAATAGAGCAAACTTCATAGGTTCTAATCAGGTTCACAATTCAATTCCTGGTTACATTGTTTCATTGATTTAGTTATGTGAGAGCTATGTAACGCCAATATTCAATCAAAGAGATAGAAAAAGAAAATAACCTTGGAGGTTGTCCTCAAAAGTTATTTTCTTAAGTTGTCCTCAAACGTAATTTGTATAAATTTTGTTGATAAAATTTATACAGTTTGGAGCTGCCCAGCCCCAATTGATGTCGCCCCTTCGAGGACAATTAACGAGTGTCGACTGTAGTTATTTTATGGTCATATGACATTAGTCACATTGCATTTCTGTATTACAATCACCTATGTATTTATAATACTAGCCATTCCTGCGCGGCTCCAATTGGGCATATCGTGATGTTGTTTGGCCTACGCTAAAGCCTTTTTCGATAGATCTTTTTTTAAGAGTAACGATGGAGTTACTTGCGCGTTCTTCTCCATTCGAAACTACACTTTGGAACCAGCGCATAGCGTCACTGACAGACTGACAATACAATTTTTGATGTTTCAAAAGGAAACATTAAAATAAAGGATTCATTGAAATAAATGCTTTGACTTTGATGAGCGATCCTAAACTCGAAGCATTATTCAATTTAAAACCAATAGATCCGGAGATTAGGGCACTCAAAGCGATCAAAATTAAAGTTTGTAGTGATGTAAATCGAACCTGAAACATCGTTACGTTTCATTGTAATTTACAATAAATTGTTGCTTTAAATGATTCAATCATAAAGATAAAATTATTTTACGAATACAAAGACAAAATAAGCAGAATGGGCGAAATATTAACGAAAACAAATAACCTTTAAAAAGCTTTCCATGTAGATAAACAATCGTTAGTCGTTACGTTTTCAGTTACTCGCAGTTTTGCGATCTGCCAGTTGGAATACATAATGCTGAGTTATTAATCTATAGATGTTCACTATATTTTAGTCATATATATATATGTATGTAAACAATAATTGTACGTAATGGCTGCCCTACGGTTTGGTCAATCTATACTGGTGACATCTGGACTCAGCATTTATCGGCCAACACCATTCAAACCAATAGTTCCGGAGAGCATGTTTAAAGAAACGAACTCTACATACATACATACATACATAGCTTCACGCCTGTCTCCCATGGGGGTAGGCAGACACTATGGAAAACCAATGACTACGATTCCTACATACCTCTTTCGCATCAATCAACAATAACGAACGAACTCTACAGCTTGACAATATTAGGTAAAGATTAGTCAGTAAGTATTAATTGATTCATCTGTTTAGAGTACATGGCGGGGCGGAGCATGTGCGGACCTGGTGATTGAGATCCCAGGCTCGGTGGGCGGGGAGGCGGAGGCCGACGGCGGCCGCTACCGGCTGGACTACCGGCCGCCGCACGGCACGCCCCCGCCCAACTTCACAGTGCCGGCGCGCGCCAACACCATCAACTTCCAGGGCCTGCCGGGCACCAAGTACCACTTCATGCTCTACTACTCCAATGCCACATTCGCCGACCTCTTGACATGGAACCAAACAATCATTACTGGTACTTGTTTGTTCACCATACGTTATCTGATTTTTTAACATATGAGATAGCCATTCGTCATTTAATGCAGTTCTCTGAACTGCCACACGCACCCGGTAACATTCATGGCTTTAGCTTAGCTTTTTGCTCTTTTTGTCCTTAAAAACGAACTCTGTCCCGCGTAATTTTCACGTTGTTACTTACCGTTAATATAAAATATGGTAAGTAATTGGTATTTAATGACATTGATTATGTTCTAGACTACAGACTTGTGCTTGACATTGCATGTATTGTACGATTGATTGTAGGTAATCGTGTGCTCATTTAAAGTTCTGATTTCATTAAAAAATACTGACGTGAGCTCAAAAACATTTTTTTACTAACGTGTATAGATTTTTGTAAACAATATCTACTAAGTATGTAGGTACATGTTAACAAAAAGTTTAAGCAAAATTCGTGTGTAGGTACACCTTTTTTGGTAGCCAGTTATATTATTAATTTTACCTACCTGTAATTTTTGGGTCTCTGATTAGTTCCGATTTCGAAACTAAGTTTTGTGTATCAAATTCCGATTTATTAATATTATAATTTATACACATTCGTAGCTTCACATTATTTCAATAACTCGTAATTCTAGGAAACTGTTATCCTGCAGAGAATCTTAAAATCATACACAAATGATTTAGATATTAAATAATACTGTCGCTTGATCAAGATAAGATTTTATCCTTCGGTTTTTCCTACATATTTGGCCACCGCAGAGAGTATGATTGTCACAATAGTATTCGTCACTTAATACGTGAGCCCCGATGATTAGCATGATGTCTGTCACAAAGTGCAACGATGACAGGTTCATCTGAATTTAAACCTTCAAAGATTAAGATCCCTACAGAACAGACGTATGAAACTAATGAGTGACGAGGGATATGTAACCTCTAAGGAAACCTACAGGAAAAAAGTAGAGTGGTGGTACAAGGATGTTACTTAAATTAAGCTTTATCTATCTATGCAAGTGCTTTGCTATTTTGTTGAGCCATGAGTGACGCAATGAGGAAAACTACAAAATGTAGTAGGTGTCTAACGATACTTATAGAAGAGCCTACTGCGATCATGTATTATTTTGACATCAATTGTTTGTTTCCATGCACAGCACCCGAGCCGCCAACAAACTTGACGGTGACACTAGGGCGCAACAAACAAGCGTACATATCCTGGTCGCCCCCGGCACACGGTGACTATACCGGATTTAGATTTAAGGTAGGTACCTACTTGTCTAGCTATGCATATACTAGGTATATCTAACACGACGGTGCAAAAAGAGTTGACGTAATAGCGAGGTGTGATTTGCAATTTGTTAGCATCATCAAATTCTGGGGAATTCCTTAGTTAGCAAGAATTATATCGCTAAAAATAACAAGGAAAAGAAAGGCAGACCATGGTCCATAGTAGCTCGAGTTTTGTAATAGGGGAATTTTTGAAGACGACAGGTAATGTGTAGATACAATATTGTAATTAGAGGGAACAGCAAAGGTCGTTTGGCAAGTGGGTAACGTAGGAGATGCGGTGCAGGTGATCCCGCTGACGGAGCGCGCGGAGGGCGGCGCGAACAACATCACGGCGGAGGGCGCGGCCACCAACCACACGCTGCGCGACCTGTCGCCCGGCGCCACCTACCAGCTGCACGCCTTCACGCTGCTGCACGACAAGGAGAGCGCCGCATACGCCTCGCGCAACTTCACCACCAGTGAGTCTACTGGCTACTGTCTACTCCTACATGTACCTCTCCTTTCCAGGGTGTCTACTCGCTTCACTGCGTCTCTACAATTAACATTTTAGTCTTCCTGTCCGTGCACGAGGAAATATTTTATTTGGTTGGGTCTAATATCGACGTAAAAATTATTTTATTGTCACCAACTAATGAGGCCCGGAAATCAGTATTCTCTAAGTATACGTAGGCAGTTTTGTATTAAAATAGGTACGTAGTTATCAGTTTCTATTTCTATTGCAACGATAATTATGATGATATTCCGGTAACTTGTCCTCTCATTTGCTATTCTAAATCGCACAAAGAGTACATGAAATTATCCTTCCTGTGAAAACAACAGTAGGTACCTACAATGCGAAATGATTTTAAATTATCTAAACGTAATGTTATTTGATTCATATAACGAATCAATGACTCAGTGCGCGGGTCTTTCGTAAATCGATGCGTCATACAAACATAAATACACAAATAGTAGGAACCGTCGCTGTATTGCGAACTCTCTAAACTAGATTATTGAGTCGCGTTGCCTTGACATTTGTGTGTGTGTGAATCTGGGTGTGCCGCGCCACGTGACCGTCACGTGACGGCGACGTGACGGCGACGCGACTGCCTGTATTCTGTACGTGAAGCGGTCGCCGCGGCGCGCCCAATTCGTTCACTATAGAACATAGTACGATGCAGACGCACTGCCTCGCCGAGGTCACCGCTGGGACAATCGGACACGGCTGGGGATCGTCGCTGCATAGATCTCCCTGAACAAGACAATGACGAGGCTGCGGCCTCATACGCGAAACTAATCGATTTCGCATACCTTAATTCTCTGGATCTCAGATTTGAGATAATGAGCGTGGCGGTATTATGTTTGTAACTGACAACACATTATGTCTACATGTCCGCGATATGTAATATATGTACGCGCGAACTGTTCCCAATAAATATCTTTTAATGCTAACTCACTACGTCATTTTGCTGATTTACTCTAAACTTTAATTTGTATAGGTACCTATGGACCTGTGTATGATTTAAAGAAGGTCGGCAATGTAGTCGCAATACTTGTGAAGTAGCTTAGTTGTGACTTATAATTGTACAAAATATATCTCAATAATTTGCACCTATTTGTTGATGTGCGCCCTCTGTCGAGCATCGAGCTACACATAGCTCCACTCACAGCTACGCACAGTACCATCATTACATTCAATTTTGTGGTGACAATTTCAGTAAGTATAAGGACTATAAGGAGAAGGAGACAGCACCTATTACTCCATATAAAAATATTCAGATATGATTTTTGTGGACACGCCGGCTTCTGAATGAGTGTGGTGAAGTTGTTTATCAAACTCCGATACAATTATTTTATAATTATCGGATAGAAATGTATTCGGATCGTTGTTCCGCATGAAATGTGCATAGCTTCATACTTGTGATACAGTGCTATATCTAGTGTTCCAGAACATGCGCCGGCGCAACTCGGTTCTAATTATGTAAAACTGTTCAGCGCTGTCTAAAGTAAAAGTATGTAGGTCCGCTCCCTCAGAGAGTCGGAGTGTCCACCTGTGATGTAACTCGTTTGTTTTGTACCGCTGCGCAGGATGCACGGGACCCTGGTGAGCAGAGCATGCTACTTACTCGCCTGCATGCCACCGCGCGCTGCCTCTCTTTACTCATTCTGCTTGTCCGTCGCCCTCGCGGCGATTGTTCATTATCTTTGCGAAATATAACATTTTGTTCCTTTATTAATCTGTACTGCCGAGTGCTGCACTCGCATACTGTCTGCAGACACAGTAATGTGTCTCCGAGCACGACGTACATGCACTGGTCGGCCGTAGCATGATGGCCACTCGTGCATTTCTCGCATGCTTTACTTTACGCTTTTACTTGTTAGTGGCGATCATCGACACTTACCTAAATATTGTTCTAGGAGTTTGAAGTTTGTTATTGTTCATACTCGCACAAACTACTGTCCGCTAATCAAAGCGATCTCTGTGTGGCCAGCGGACACTGTACCAAGTGACATGTCGCTGTGGTACCATGTTCCACCGCCCGGAGATCACGTTGATTCATTCACACACTTTATTTACATTGCTGATACTGGTCAAGAAATGACCAGAACATGTAAATCACTGGCAAAACTATTATAATTTTCCACGGATTTTATGTTATTTATTCGTACTCGGTGTATTGCCTGAAGTAGATTCGATATCGTTACGTATATTGTATTGGCGAAGCCTGTATAGCGGTTGCACTGTGTCCCCGCAGAGCCCAACACGCCGGGCAAGTTCATCGTCTGGTTCCGCAACGAGACCACGCTGCTGGTGCTGTGGCAGCCGCCGTACCCGCCCGGCGCCTACACGCACTACAAGGTACGTCCCGGCGCACGTCCGCCGCACGTCCGCCGCGCGTCCGCCGCCGGGCCTACAACGCTGTGTGTGCAGGTGTCCATCGTGCCGCCCGACGCGCGCGACTCGGAGCTGTACGTGGAGAAGGAGGGCGAGCCGCCGGGGCCGGCGCAGGCCGCCTTCAAGGGGCTGGTGCCGGGCCGCGCCTACAACATCTCCGTGCAGACGGTGTCGGAGCCCGAGATCTCGGCGCCCACCACCGCGCAGTACCGCACCGTGCCGCTGCGCCCGCGCAACGTCACCGTGCCGCTCGCCGACCTCAAGGAGACCTCCTTCAAGGTCACCTGGCTGCCGCCGCTCGAGGAGAGGTACTTGTACCATTGACACTTTCTTCAAAGGTTGTCATTTACAATTTATTAACAAATATGTGTATAGTTTGTAGACCTGTGTAATTCATATTGTCCAGCATTTGTGGTATTTGTAAGGTTGGAGCAAAACCTGAACGGAGTGATACCTGACAGGTCATTATTAAGCTAAAGTAACTTTAAACAAAATGAGCAGACTGTATAACGTATATTGGGCTTAACGATGATTTCAATATTCTTAAAAGTCCCCTTGAAGGTTCCCTTGAAGCCTTTCCTCGATCACGACCCTCCAAACACCTTAAATAACGGAATCATCTGTTTCATAAAACATCAAACCGTATAGTTTGCGCAGGGAATTGAGTTCGTTAGGGTGGCTGGGTGTTAACACGTAGTGTGTTGTCGTGTCGCCAGCGAGTTCGAGAAGTACCAGGTGTCGGTGAGCGGGACCGGCGGCGGCGGGCGGCGCCTGGCGCCCGTGGTGCGCGCGCGCAACGACACGCCCGCCTGCGCCTTCGAGGGGCTGGAGCCCGGCGCGCCCTACACCGTCACCGTCAAGACCATGTCCGGCAAGGTCACGTCCTGGCCCGCCGCCACCGACCTGACGCTCAGTGAGTGCCGCCGGCCGCGCAGCCCGCGCTGCCCGGCCGGCCCCTGACCGCCGGCCGCGCAGCCCGCGCTGCCCGGCCGGCCCTGACCGCCTCCTGCCTTACAGAGCCGCTGCCGGTGCGGGACCTGGCCTGGCGCTACGCGGCCGACGGCGCCGTCGACCTCTGGTGGGCGCCCGCGCCCGCCAGCACGCAGGACGAGTACAAGGTTTGCTATCACAACAGGGGGAGTCTGTTACTACCTGTTGTTATGACCAGAGTTAGGCCATCACAAACGTGCAAACTGCCACGTCACAGCAATATGGCAATGTCGCACTACTCCCATAAGTGTGAGCGAAGGATCTGATAAAAATTACTTATGACGTTCACACGTTTGAATGGCCCGAATATATATCTAATATCAGTTCTTTCCGTGCAGTGTTGTACTTACGATACTGGTTCAGGCATATTCTATTAAATTAACAATCACATTAACACTTTCAGCTTACAATTATTCTGTTAGTACAGTTACAGACTTACGACTAGGTATTGTTAGTACAAAATTACAATAATTTTCCGCTCGCAGCTTTGTTCACTCGGTCCAAAGACAAATAAAGTTATGTTCATATCTAAGTATTTTCAAACACAAAATTCATAATATAAAACTGGTCCACGGCGACGCGCGACATGAAATAAATACAAAGTAACAGCAAGAGGTAAGTCGAGGCGCGCAGTGCTCGTCACTGTCACATAGAGGTAATGTGAATGAATGTAGCACACACTGTAACCACGCCCAGTAACGTTGGCTCCATGTAGTAGGGGATGAACTTATTGCCATACACGACGGTGCCACGTAACACTGATTGCCGGAAATGACAGAAAACCAGTCATGGGGGCAATTTAAAAGGATTACAATGAACATCTGCAAACGAGCATGTAGCGAAGGAATGTCCGTGTGGCAGGTGTCGTACCACGAGGCGGGCCCGTCGCGCGACGACAGCAACACGCTGAGCACGGCCGAGCCGCGCGTCACGCTGCGCGCGCTGCTGGCCGGCCGCAACTACAGCGTGTGGGTGGCCGCCGTGTCGCGCGGCGTGGCGGCCGAGCCGCGCGCCGCCGCGCTGGCCACGCGCCCGCTGGCGCCCGTGCTGCTGGCCGCGCGCGCCTCCGACTCCGACCTGCGCCTGTCCTGGCGCTCCGACGTCAACTCGCGCCAGGACGGCTACGAGCTCAGCTACCGCCGCGCGCCGCCGCCCGCCGCGCCCGCCGGCCCCGCCGCGCCCGACGCCGCGCCCGCGCCTGACGCTGTCTATCACAAGGTCGGCCCCCGCGTATACTTTCCATTTATCACCAAACTAACTTATTCTTATAGCGCGCCCTTTTTACTAATTTCAAAATATCCTAAACTGACTCCAGAAGTGATAAAAAGGGTACTACTATCACACATTCTAGACAGAATCAGAATATTTTTATTTGACAACCTGGAAGGTTCACGCGCAAATAACACAGAAGCTTGCTGTAACCACTTTTAGTCTTTTCCAAGTAAATATTCTACGTAGGATTCTTATATGTATCAAGGCGCTTGTAAATAGTATTAATGTGTAACATTAACAGCATTGCACACGGCCGCGTCGTCCGCGAATATAGAGCGGCGGCCGTGCCAGTTACTTTATCGATCACATCGCGAACAGTTTCGGTCTGGCTCGGGAGCCCCGGGGCTCTAAAGCTTGCAATCATACTGAGTGCGTCGAAATGAATTTCGCGCGACTCGCTCGGTACAAAGTAACGCGTGTACAGTTGGAGACCACGGAGACGAGCGCGACGCTGTCGGAGCTGTTCCCGGGCGCCGTGTACGAGATCCAGCTGGCGGCCGTGAGCCACGGGCTGCGCAGCGAGCGCCTGGTGCTGCGGCGCGGCGTGCGGCCGCGGCCCGCGCTGTGGCTGCGCCTGGCGCGCGCCACGTCCAACAGCGTGCTGGTGTCGTGGGCCGGCCCGCCGCGCCGCGCCAGCGCGCTGGGCGGCTTCGTGCTGCGCTACCGCACGCGCGCCGAGCCGCGCTGGACGGCGCTGCCGCCGCTGCCGCCCGACGCCGACCACGCCGAGATCCCCAACATGACGCACGGCGAGCACTACATCATCGAGCTGGACACGCTCAGCGAGCCCGCCGACGGCGAGGCCGTCGAGAGCGACCGCCCGCAGCGCGAGGAGCACACCGTCCGTACGTACGCTGCTGTACTTGCTCGTGTCGAACGTAAACAGTCATGTACTCTTGGTCATTTGGTTTTTTCTAATACTTATAACACAAATTGTTACACATAAGATGTTGCAACTGAAACAGTCGTTCTTCTGAAAACATTATGTATGCGTGGCTCGCATAATCCTCGAATAATGTACACGATGCATCACATACTAGGTTCCCTGTAGTCTACTAGGTTCTCTGTAGGCTTCGTCACTCCGACACTTTGTGATAAAAAAAATATTTAATTAAACAACAAATTCGTTTTGAAGTGCAACCTTGGTCTCTTAAACAGCTATAATAACAATAAATATATCTTTTATAAATTAAGTTTATAAAAATCGACTTCTCCCCTTCTTAAAGTCGGTTAATTAAACTGTCAAACACCAAGCGGTCACCGGTGACCGCGACCTATTGTTCTTTAATAGTGTCTATAAAACCGGTACTCGACGAGTTAAAATACTAAAACAGTGTAACATACACTTCTCTTAAAATCGTATCAAAATCGGTTCAGCCGACCGCGAGATAATCGCGCACAAATATACATTGTTTTTGAAGTCGGTTAAATAGTTAATTAATGAAGTTATTTTATTTCGAATTTCATAAAGTGTAAGACCCTGCTGTATCATACGTAGTCATTTATGAGAAAAGACTTATTGCCAGGTTCAGTAACCGATCTCAGTCCAAGGTGTTTAGATTAAGATCGATGTTGGACATGAATTGTATAGAGTTTGACATCAGTTGTATAGAGTATGCTATGAGTTGTATAGAGTTTGATAGTTTGGCATGAGTTGTATAAAATTTGGCATGAATTGCAGCTAATTTGACATGAGTTGTATAGAGATTGGCATGAGTTGTATAGAGTTTGCCACGTGTTGTATAGAGTTTGATAGTTTGACATGAGTTGTATAGAGTTTACCATGAGTTGTATCGAGTTTGACACGAGTGGTATAGAGTTTGCCATGAGTTGTACAGAGTTTGCCATGAGTTGTATAGAGTTTGCCGTGAGTTGTATAGAGTTTGCCAGGAGTTATATAGAGCTTGCCATGAGCTGTATAGAGTTCGACACGAATTGTATAGAGTTTGCCGTGAGTTGTATAGAGTTTGCCGTGAGTTGTATAGAGTTTGACACGAGTTGTATAGAGTTTGCCGTGAGTTGTATAGAGTTCGACACGAGTTGTATAGAGTTTGCCGTGAGTTGTATAGAGTTTGCCAGGAGTTATATAGAGCTTGCCATGAGCTGTATAGAGTTCGACACGAATTGTATAGAGTTTGCCGTGATTTGTATAGAGTTTGCCGTGAGTTGTATAGAGTTTGACACGAGTTGTATAGAGTTTGCCGTGAGTTGTATAGAGTTCGACACGAGTTGTATAGAGTTTGCCGTGAGTTGTATAGAGTTTGCCAGGAGTTGTATAGAGTTCGACACGAATTGTATAGAGTTTGCCGTGAGTTGTACAGAGTTTGCCAGAGTTGTATAGAGCTTGCCATGCGTTGTATAGAGTTTTCCAGGAGTTGTATAGAGTTTGACACGGGTTGTGTAGAGCTTGCCATGAGTTGTATAGAGTTCGACACGAGTTGTATAGAGTTTGCCATGTGTTGTATAGAGTTTGCCAGGAGTTGTATAGAGATTGACACGAGTTGTATAGAGCTTGCCATGAGTTGTATAAAGTTCGACACGAGTTGTATAGTTTGCCGTGAGTTGTATAGAGTTTTCCAGGAGTTGTATAGAGTTTGACACGAGTTGTGTAGAGCTTGCCATGAGTTGTATAGAGTTCGACACGAGTTGTATAGAGTTTGCCATGAGTTGTATAGAGTTTGCCATGAGTTGTGTGAAGTTTCTGTCAAAGATCAAGATCGATTCAGAGATTTTAGATTAAGATCGGTTATTGAATGTGTCGTGCGTGTGTGGCAGGCCCCAACCCGGTGAGCAACGTGGAGCAGTTGGTGGACACTCGCAACATGACGCTGGAGTGGCCCGTGCCCGGCGGCCGCGTGGAGTGGTACTCGCTGCACTGGCGGCCCGTGGGGCCCGGCGCCGCGGCCGGCGCCCGCAACCTCAGCGCGCCCGCCGGGCCGCGCGCGCGCGCCGCGCTGGACGGCCTGCAGCCGGGCCGCGCCTACACCGTGTCCATCGCCGCGCACTCCTACAACCTCAGCTCCGACGTCTTCACCATGGACACGCGCACCCGTGGGTACCTGTCTGGCCGACTGGCCTTGTAGCACGCGCGCTCGGCTCGCTCGCTCACTCTGCGCTCGTGCGTTGCAGGTCCGCTCATCCAGTCGGAGATGACCATCGTCAACGAGCCCGGCACCGACGACGACAACGACACCGCGTCCACCACGCTCGTGAGTACTGCCCCGCCCGGGACAAACAACTAACACACGCGATACACGACACTCGTAACAAAACAATACCTGTACAGACGACGACATTATTGTATTAGCATGAGGTGGTGGTGGTTTATCTCTAAGTTACTATTGGTGATCGTTTTCATTTTAAAGTGATAGTTTTCGCTTAAACAGCATCAACTTGACGATACTATTGCACTTTACCCTTTCTATCTGAAATATTATACCTTATATAGTATCAGCTGGCTATCTAGCTCAAGGCTCTTGAGTTATATTAGCTTTAGATTTGTTATAATATAAGTTTAGTTGATAAGACTTATAATATTTTGTTAAGTAAATCTGACGACGACGAATTAATACCAACACCTTGAAATATCAATGTTGCTCACTCTATATTTCACGTTCATTGTAATCGAGGTAAACGACATTTTCATGTAGAGTTCAGTCTAACCGGAATGTATATTTCTACGAATAATATTGATAGGAACTATGAAAATTTACATCAAATCTTCCATTGGTTTTTTACATGTAAAGTATCACTTAAATAACCGTTTAAAAATATGTGCAACTGTATCTTCTGCCAGCGGCCACGCCCGCATCACTACATTTGTCCCACATTTTATTCCCATCTGTTCCGTAGGGCTTTCTTAAAACCATCCATACATCGTCACAAACCGTTCACTTCCTTATACATTACAAATATACAGCTGTCTCGAATCTCGAGGGGACTGTCTATTTCGACGTTTCACATGTGCCTGTAAATGGTTTATCTGAAATAAATGCTTTACTGTGAACTTTGTCATCGTGTCTTTTATTCCTGTAAAGTTCCATGTAGGCAGTAAGCCTGTTGCTACATACTTCAAAAATTCAAAGAAACATCAAAGGACATGCTCGGACGTGTATGGAACCCGTAAAAGTGATAAAAGTATGAATGCCTGAATGTCAAAAAGTATTTTTGCTTTAATAATGGCATTCAGAGGACGAGGCGATGTCCGCGTGAGGGTGTCGGTAGACATCTCCTCCGCGCTCAGTCGCAGTCACTGTAGTTTGGTCGTAAAATAGAAATCGAAAATAGCGAAAATCTACAAAGTAGCCAATTTTCAAAAGTCCTTTCTTCAACTTTCCAGGTAACCCCTATATTTCCTCCTTTCGACCTATAGAGAATGCTAAAAATATGTCTTAGATATCGGTTGGCTATTAGTCATACGTTCCAAAATTACAGGTAGCTGGGAGTGTGACAGTTGACATAATAAAAAAATGTCTTTAATGTTTTTATAATAACTATCGTGAGACTCAACCATCAACTAAAATCGCTGGTTACTTACGTGAATATACTGAGAAAAGCTCTACTAGTTTCGAACCACAGAGGGGTTCTTCTTCATGAGCAGCGTGCGCGGTGCAGGTACACTTGGATGAACTAATCAAACATAAGACTTACATAAATTGTACGTTATATGAACATTATATAATATGAAACAATAATTATGTCTTATAAAACTAGGTTATTTGAAATTATGTCATATGAAAATAACGTTTGTCATTATGCAATTAGAGCATTTGTTATAATGTCAAACGTTAAACACTAGCGTAGTTAATAGCAATTAGAGTAAGGTTGGCGACATAGCCTCTATACTACTCGCACTTGCATAATGTGAGAAGGGAAGAATCAATAAATGGAATCAATTACTTCTTGAATTAAGAGGGGGTAATGTTAGGTTCAAGATGGGGATAAAATATTGTGTGCTTGCTGTGGTATTATCTGTGGCTCAATCACAGCTCAGCGCTAACAGAATCGACTCAACCCCAGGGTAGTCAGTCAGTATTAGTGCATGGCGGACTGGCAGCAACGACTTACGACGTCCTCACCTACCGCCTGACGCAGGTGCCTACTGGATACGGAAGTTTCGGTAGGATCCTGTGTCATCACTGCGAGGACTGCCTGAGGACACAGTGGAGCAAACGGTGGCGGTGTGCCCAGCGTGGGCTGACCACCGTCGGGTCCATAGGGATGTGATCGGCCACGGCGACCTCTCGCGTCCGGCTTTGGCTCAGACCATGGTACGGAGCAAAGGGGGCTAGGATGTCGTCTCCTCCTTCTGCGAACTAGTCATGTTAGCTCCTCCTGCCCCAGCCGTCACGAGAGACACTCCGGGCATCGCGGATCGTGAGCCGCCCTCCGGCCAACGTAAGCATGCGTGGCTCGCCGCCGACCACGGCCCGCCCCGAGCGAGCGGCGCCGAGCGAGCGGCGCCGAGCGGGCCGCGCACACCTCAAAGAGCCATCACACCACCACAGAAGGTGCCCAATAGGGCTGATGCCGACACGGACCCGGGAAAGCCTTAACGGGTCGCCGGGGCTCCAGCTCGAAGTGCAGGACTACTCCTGTTTCTATGAACGGGGTGGTTTTTAGTCAGTAAGAATCTGACGCTTCCTCTCGCCTCACCCAAGGTGGGAGAAGTCATTGGATGATTTCCACCCTCAAAAATAATAAGCACAGTCAGTCAGTCAGTCAGTAGTAACAAGCGAGTTGGAACATATACAGGGTCTAAACGAAGTATCTACGGAATACTTATATAGGGCGGCGTATAGTGTGTAATGGCAGATCCGTCGTTTTACAGAAAGTGATCTACACGCGCACGCCGGGCTCCGCGTCGCAGTTCGACTCGTACCGGTTCCAACTGGAGGGCGCCGGCGCCGAGCCGCGCTGGAGCACGCGGCCCGCCGACGCAGAGGGCCAGGCCGTGGAGTTCTCGGGGCTCGTGCCGGGCCGCCTCTACAACGTCACCATGTGGACCGTGTCCCACAACGTCACGTCGCACCCCGTGCAGCGCCAGGCGCGCCTCTGTAACTATACCTGCCCGCTACTGCTCCCCCGCGCGTCGCTGCATTGAGTCGCCCATAATTATTCTTGTATCGACAGTTCCCCGGCCCATAACGCAGCTGAACGCGACGGAGATCGGCGCTCGTGAGATAACGCTGGCGTGGGACAAGCCGGTGGGCGACTACACGGACTTCGAGGTCCAGTACCTCACCGACGTGGACCAGTTGCAGACGCTCACCACGGAGGACCTCGGCATCAAGGTCAGGCTGCGCTAACTTTTCACTGTCGTTCCTTGCTCGAGCTTCACTTGTCGCCGTGACTGATGCTATTTACAAAATATGTGATGTGATATGCAATCCATGCATAATATCTAAATAGAGTGTCAGTTCACGAAAAGCGTCACAAAAATTTGCAGTCAACTGTACACTGCAATACACTTTCCCGTCAAGTAGTACCAATCGTGTCACCTAGGCGTCACTACATGCATGCGCGCTACAAAATAAATTTGTAAACAAGAAAGTACACTGCAAAGATGGCCACATGCTCCATAAAATTGTGCTAAAATTATAAATGACGGTTAAAAAGTCCTAAACAGATCACTTATCAATTGCTAAGTAATTAAAAATTGTATTATTCAATTTATGTTTTTGACCTAACTAATTGCCGCATATTTTATCAGTATTGCCAATTAATTTTTCAATATTCAATATTTTTCATGAGTCTCATAAAGAAGGCATAATTATTAAAAAAAATGTCACTTGCTTGTGAATTAAAAATAAAATAATAATTTATTGAACTTACTTACGCTTTAATGTACTATTTATTCTAACCGTCTAAAAAAAGAAGGTTCGTTTCGATTTTTGACAGTTATTTTGAAATCATTGAATCGATTAATCGATTTAGTTATATTTGTTGATGGAAAGGATACAATAATATTTTATCAATTGGTTTTATAGAAATAATGTTAAAAATTTCGTAATATGAATATTGAATGATTGTTTTCATAAGGAAAATATATTACTTATATGACAAAATACAAAAATTTCAACGAAGTCTCCAAAAAAAATTAAAGTCAAATTCAAAGAGATGGTTACATTTTTTACTTTACTTCTAGTAATGGTCTGGTACATGTACTCAATTATTTATGGGAGATATTTTGATGGGAGAATTTTTGTCGAAGCTGTTATTATTTTTGCTCTGTATAAAAAAGTCAAAATCATTTATTTCAATTAGGCGAGAATGGCACTTTTGAATGTCAACAAAAAAAAACCACAAGTCGCACGCACTCATGCAAGAAATTTTGCAACGTCATTTTTGTTGGTATTGTATGGTGAAGCTCTATCAAGACATATTTGTAATCTAAGGCTGACACGTACACATTGGCATATCAAAAAGTACATGTGCCAATAGTGCTTAGAGGTAATCTGTGAGTGCACCGATTCCCCTGGAGGGGCGTGTGCATGAGGTCGGTCCGGGCGCAGGTGGAGGCGCTGCGGCCGCACAGCGTGTACACGTTCACCGTGGTGGTGGTGGCCGGCCGCGGCGGCGCGCTGCGCCTCACGTCGCGCGGCCGCTCCGCCGACGTGCGCACGCGCCAGGCGCCGCCGCCCGCGCCGCGCGACTTCCGCGTCACGCGCGCGCTGCCGGCCGAGCTGCGGCTGGCCTGGGACCTGCCGCCGCACGACGCCAACGGGGACCTGCGCCGCTTCCTGCTGGAGTACGCGCCGCAGGCCGACCCCGACCGCGTCACCACCGTCGAGTTCCCTCCTGACGGTACGAGACTTATCCTACCTACGCTTTTCGCTCGTTATTACATATCGACGTTTATTTCAGCATTTTGTTGTCACTTTCTTAAATTGAACCGCCGACCGAAACTCGCGATGAGATATTGACGAGTGGCGGCCCTGTGCGCAGCGCGCGAGGGCGTGGTGTCGGGGCTGGTGCCGGGCGCGGTGTACTGGCTGCGCGTGCGCGGCGAGACGGGCGCGGGGCCGGGCCCGGCCGCGCGCCTGCTGCAGCACATGGCTATCGGCGCGCCGCCGCGCCCGCCCGCCGCCGCCACGCCGCGCGAGCTGCGCCGCTCGTCGTCCACCGTGGCCGTGCGGTTCCGCGCCGACTACTTCTCGGCCGCCAACGGCAACGTGACGGCATACACGCTGGTGCTGGCGGAGCAGCCGCGCAACGACACGCCGGCGCGCCTGCCGTCGTGGCGCGACGTGCAGGCGCTGGCCGCCTGGCCGCCCTACCAGGTCACGGAGCCCTACTACCCCTTCCACTCGTCGCCCGTGGAGGAGTTCACCATCGGCTCGGAGCGCTGCGACGCGGGCGGCCGCGCCTACTGCAACGGCCCGCTGAAGCCCGGCACCAAGTACTACGTCAAGCTGCGCGCCTTCACGGCGCCCGACAAGTTCACCGACACCGGCTACGCCGTCGTCTACACCGGTACGTGCTCCTCTATCTACTACGAGTCGAGGCGGATTTTATTCCACGGAGAGCGGACATTCACAATCTTGTTTGGGATTCAAATAGATCACTTCCAACATTATTGTCGAACAATGTCAGTATCCATATTCATTATAATATATTATTTATTCCAACCAATTAACATTAGAAGGTTTGTTTCGATTTTCGACATATACTTTGAAATGATTGAATCGATTTAGTTATATTTTTTGTTGGAAAAGGTGTATTTGAGGAATTAGTTATTTATAAATAATGTTACAAATGCCGATACGTACGTTGTGTATATGCATTGAGTTTGACGTCGCGTCGTACAGAGGTGGACAACACGGCGTGGATAGTGGGCGGCTGCGTGGCGGCGGGCGTGGCGGCGGGCGCCGCCGCCGTGCTGCTGGCGCTGCGCCGGCGTCGCGCCCGCGCCGCGCCCGCCGCGCCCGCGCCCGCCGCCGCGCGCACGTCGCGGCCCGTGCGCGTGGCCGACTTCATCGACCACTACCGCCTCATGTCCGCCGACTCCGACTTCAGGTACCCGGCTCTTACATTCCATGGCGACCGACCACGGTACTCTCCATGAACTGCATTCTCACAACATCGAAACGTCGCCACGTGCTCCTTACTTACCTTTCAATATTATTAGAACTACACCTACATCATATCTAATCAATTTTGAAGGTCATGAATGACACACAGTAACGGTAGGATTGCGGCATAGCTTTCTGATCTGGGAAAACCAACGGCAAGCTGTAACTACTGTAAGCACGCGGTCTTCGCGCTGACAACCATTTTGTTTTGAAGTTATGAAATATATCATAACACTTGGTGTTTCTTTCTTTCTTTCTTTCTTACTTACGGTTTAATGTTCAAATTGTATTGACAAGTTAATAGCTGGGTTCAATTGATATCGTTACTGTGCGCCATGACGTATGGTGTTGAATGTTCAGTGGGGTTCCGATACAGCGAGCCAGCAGAATGATGCACGCGTGGTGAATGTGACAGGTTCAGCGAGGAGTTCGAGGAGCTGAAGCACGTGGGGCGCGAGCAGCCCTGCTCGGCCGCCGACCTGCCCGTCAACCGGCCCAAGAACCGCTTCACCAACATCCTGCCGTACGACCACTCGCGCTACAAGCTGCAGCCCGTGGACGACGAGGAGGGCTCCGACTACATCAACGCCAACTACGTGCCCGGCCACAACTCGCCGCGCGAGTTCATCGTCACGCAGGGCCCGCTGCACTGCACGCGCGACGACTTCTGGCGCATGTGCTGGGAGTCCGGCTCCCGCGCCATCGTCATGCTGACGCGCTGCGTGGAGAAGGGCCGCGAGAAGTGCGACCGCTACTGGCCCTACGACACGCGGCCCGTGTACTACGGGGACATCGCCGTCACGGCGCTCAACGAGTCGCGCTACCCCGACTGGACCGTGACGGAGCTCATGCTGTGCCGCGGCGCCGAGCAGCGCGTGCTGAAGCACTTCCACTTCACGACGTGGCCCGACTTCGGCGTGCCCGACCCGCCCACCACGCTGGCGCGCTTCGTGCGCGCCTTCCGCGAGCGCTGCCCGCCCGACGCGCGCCCCGTCGTCGTGCACTGCAGCGCCGGCGTGGGCCGCTCCGGCACCTTCATCACGCTCGACACGGCGCTGCAGCAGCTCGCCGCGCACGCCGACTGCCTCGACGTCTTCGGCATGGTGCACGCCATGCGCCGCGAGCGCGTCTGGATGGTGCAGACGGAGCAGCAGTACATCTGCATCCACCAGTGCCTCGTGGCCGTGCTGGAGGGGCAGGACCTGGCCGCGCCGCCGCCGCACCACCACCACAACGCCGCCTTCGAAGGTACGATCCCAACGTGTCGAGTCGAGTCGAGCGACGACTGAAAATAAATATTCTCCTTACGAGTGTCACGGCGAAATTTATTCGTCTCGAACGACACTGGATATAAAGAATTCACCCTTATTTCATTCGTCATTCAGTCGTCTCTTCATTGGCAATCACACGATTGCCAATGAAGAGAGCCACAAAATTAATCTCATCGTCGTTTTTTGCACCACATTTCTCTGCAAGATAAATACTTACCCTTCTTAAACAGTCGCATAGTCTGGTAGAATTAGGGTTGGGGACATATGGCACGTTCATCGAATGCCGTAGGTCGTAGTAGTGTGTGTACCACGACGTGTAACTTGTGCGTGTGCCCGCTAGGTGGCGCCTAGCGGCGGCGGCGGCGGCCCTCACGTGAGCTGTGTGTGTGTGCGTGTGTGCGTGTGTGTGGGTGTGTGTGAGTGCCCGAGGTGACGTGTGTTTCTGTTGCAGACGACGAGGGCATCGCAGAGTCCGGCATGTAGGCGCGCGCCCCGCGCCCCGCGCCCCGCGGCCTGCGCCCCGGGCCCCGCGCCCCGCGCCCCGCGGCCTGCGCCCCGGGCCCCGCGCCCCGAACTGCGCTCTGTTGCGGTCGAAAGCGCGCCCGCTCAATCTGAAACTTATGTACTTAAATTATATTTTATCTCGATGAAATCGCTTGTATACAAGTAGTATTAAGTTTTTTACAAAAATACTTTTATATAAATGTACATGAATAAATGGACCAATCGTTAATTATTGTAATAGATTAAGATAAATTAATATTTTGTTATTTTTTTACTGTGGTAATATAAGGAAATATAAAGCGACGCCGGTCGCGTGTCTCGCTATATATTAGTATCGTCGTGACGTCCAGCTCGCATGTTTACATGACAACTGTATACGTACGTAGCTCACTGTACGTACGTATCACTTACCTTTGAATCTCGAATTTGTACTTAAACGTTTGACGTACGTAACGTATCTGCTATAAATTGCTCAATTCGATGTGTCGTTCGTATGCAATCTGTGAAGTCGTCGGTCACTCGGAGTAAACAGTAGAGACACGACGGAGACTAGTCGCTACTTGTTTACGACGAGCAACAGTCACGACCCACGACGTGATACTTGAACATGTTTGGTACTTACATACATACTGTCCGCGCCGCGCCGCGCACTCTCACCCACGCCCGGCATGCCATGCCATCTTATTTCCATGAGTTAACAGTTCAGTGCCTTTAGACAAACGCCACTTTAGCGCTTGTCTACAGAGAGAGTAGAAAACGAAATGTATAGGGATGACACTATCAAATGTCAAAATTTACGTCAATCCCATATAATTTGGTTTTCTACTCTACATGTAGACAAGCCCTAAATGACATTTGGCTACAGCTGCTGATTGCTTTACGCAGCATTGCATCTCGCGAGACGTATGGGCAGAGCCGTATTATCCCCAAACTAGGCAAGCACATGCGTCAAAACGAATTAGGGGCGCCTTGGAGGTGCTTGCCTTAGATTATAATAATGTCTAGGTGCAGCGTCACCATACAATAACAATCAAAATGGCGTTGTCAAATTTCTTGCATGTGTGCGTGCAGCTCGTGATTTACACGGCACAATACCAGCTACAAAAGAAATAATAATAATGTTTTTGAATTTATTTTTAAAATATTTTGTTATTGGACACTGCATTGATATTCTTTCATGTACTTATGTTAGTTCTTTTTCACTTAAAAACAATCAATAAATATTAAGTCATTATTAACATTACTTGTATAATACCAATTTAGCAAACAATATTGCACTCTTTTCACAAAAAAAAATTCAAATCTAACTACAAACCTTATTATTTTAACCGGTTAGAATAAATAATACATTAAAGCAAATGTAGGTGTATATTCAATTAGTAAAAAAATTATTAATTTATTTTTCATTTGCAAGCAAGTGACATATTTTTTTCAATTTTTCCTTCTTTATGCGACTTATGACATGGGAATATTGAAAATATTGAAGATTGGCAATAATAATAAATGGCGACAGTTAGTTAGGTCAAAAACATAAATTAAATAATATAATTTTTAAGTTGCTTAAAGATTATTAAGCGATCTGTTCAGTACTTTTTAACCGCGCTTTATAATTTTGGCGCAATTTAATGGAGCATGTTGCCATTTATGCAATGTATTTTTTTTTGTTTACGTATTTATTGTGTATCTTGCATGACACGTAGTGACGCCTGGCGGCCTGGATGACCTGGTTGGTACTACTTGACGGGAAAGTGCATTGCAGTGAACAGTTGACTGCAAATTTTTGTGACGCTTTTCGTGACTCGACACTCCACCCAGACATTATGTAATCAAAGGTGTTTGCCTAGGGCGCACTGTAAGTTTAATTCTTCTGCGTCCATACGTACAAATTGACTTGGGTCAATTTGTGCGTATGGACGCAGAGACCAATGACCCAAGTCAATTTGTATCAAAGAATTGTAATTCCTAAGCTAGTTGAAATAAGGGTATAACTTGTACAGCGGCCGGCAGTGAGCGCCAGCCTTAAATGTCAGTCGGTGGATTTGATGGTATAATGCTCGGACTTTTTTATTTGCCTACGTGCGTTTTTATTCAAAATAAATGTGTGCCATCATCGAATAAAGTATTTCGGCCGTCGGTTCCCTATTATGCCATTACTAGCTCCTGCCCGCGTCGTCGCCCGCGTTCCGTGAGATAAATGTGCGTCTGTGTTATTCTACTATAATCTACCCCTGTTCCAAATGTCATCGCGATCCTTGACATGGTTGAGTAACGAAATACACCCAAACTCACAAACATGCGCATTTGTAATATTAGGAAAAAGTAACATAACATTCACATACTAGATGTATTATTATTATTTTTTTAAATATATAAAACGACTTCAAAATATTAAGAAAATACTTATACAAATTTACAAATTATAAGATATCTAAATAAAATATTTACAGTTAGTTAATATAATTCCATATTAAATAAGATTTACACATTGTACTATGTCCGCAATAATTATGTTTGTATTTAATTAATGGCACATAATTACCTACTTGACGTAGGAGTCTCTACAACTGGCATCCTACGTAATATTAATTTAAGACTGACTGCCAGTAAAAAACTGTTGAAGGTAAATCCTCCGCTAACGCCGGTCACTGGTGACCCCCATGGCGTTCAACGTGTTAATAAAGAAAATGCAATCAAAGTATCATTTTATAGTGGCTAGCAACATGGCATGCACTCCGATCACCTTCATACGTACCTACTTTAAAATATCTACCTCATACACGCAAATACATCATATTCTCTATCAGAACTTTACTCCCACGTCTGTAACACTTCCACAATTATATTGTACGTGTTACGTATCTGTGATCAATTGATCATCATCGACAGTTAAATATACAAACTCGACTTATAGACTAGTGAAATACTACACCGCATAGTAGCGCGCGGCGCGGTCTCGAGTAGCTCGTCCAAGGGATACATTTCCGTAGCGAACTTTCACTATATAGGTAATATGTTGTATAATTTAAGTCTCAGTGCATTCTAAATGCGTCAAACCTGTATGTTACATTATCTAAATACTAATATGATATTGATGCAATACATAGTAATAATAATACTTTAGAATTAAATAGTTTATTTTGTAACTCCTATTTTTATTTCAACACTTCTACACCATATAAAATATCAGAGTTTATTTGAGTCACACATTCTTTATTTAAAATTCATCATGGTCCCCACCTCGCCCTGTAAAAAATCAAAGATGAGTAAGTATTAATAGTATTACTTAAGTGCATATTTGTTAAGGTGAATGCTTCCAGGTATCCCGCGCATTTTAAATTAAATACTTGCGCTTGCTTACACACATGTGTGCGTGTATAAACACATGATCATTTTATTTAACAACCCTATGTTACAGAGCGATTTTTATCTAGTATTATTGCGTAATAATCACATACATGGCATTACCGCAAATATATGCTTTATCATCATAACTGATATCGACCTGTAAATTGCAAAAAAGTATGAAAAACTTCAATATGACACGGGGTACCTTGAAACCATGAAGCATCTGCTTAAATATTAATGCGACTGTACAGTTGGAGTGGAGCTGGCTCGCAACATGTCGCGGGGTCGATCCCTGCACAAATCAACTTAATCTAATTCCCAAATTGTTATTCCGGGTCTTGGTGTGATGTATATATGTATGTTGGAAGTTATATGTTTGTACACGCGACACGGGGAAAAATCATAACATTTAACATAGAATCCTAACTGCTGCATAGTTTGGACTTTTGGACACTCGGAATTGTAGTAAAACCTGTGAGTGTGTTACTAACTTGACTTAACGCTAACCTACCAGCTCAGTGGCGTACTATCCGGGGGCGGAAGGGGCGGTTCGCGCCGGCGGAACTCTGGGGCCCCTAAACGCGTTCATATATCCCTGATTATCCTCTAAATATGCTTAATTCAGTGCAAATTAAGCCAGCACGGGGCCTGTATCAAATCCTACGAAGAGCCCCTTAGTTTTGAAGTGGAGTTACAGAATTAAGTTAATTCCTGCCTCTTCTCACACGGAGAAGGTTAATCACCACGCTTGCTCTAGGTGGATTGGTGATTTCAAACTTATATAATTAGAAATTATAAATCCATGTTATCCTGCACAGTATGTATGTCACTGGCGTATCTGTGTCTGGTGTTAAAACGTAACTCGGTAAATCACATTGATACTTGCCAGGTTTCGAACCCACGCAGGTACATAAGACCTTCTCTGGGCCATCACGACATGGGGCCCCACCTCACCCATCGCAAAGGGTCCAAGCCAAGCTGCGTGAAGCCCATCCAAGCACGTCGTTCATCATTTGATTACGTACGACGGCTATGCTGAAGCTGAATGTCTGCCAGAAGAAGGTACATCGACTAGATTACTAGAAGATACCAGAATGAATGATAATATAATTATTTAATCATTTAGCAATATTTACTTATTGGTTCACGGCCCGAGTAAGGTGGCAGATTTAGTTCAGGTAAACGGCTCGACTGGTATCCAAAGAGCCCGCACACCCCCTCCCCCCATCGTCAGGAATGTGAGAGAAAACATGTAATAAAAAGAAATGAAGGTATCTATTACCCACTCCTTATTTTACTACTTAATTACGCATCGTGTACACAGCATGGCGGTGCCAAGGTGACGCGGTGGTGGCCTAGTGTCCGCGACTCCGCGAGTCCTGATTCATACTTGTAACTTTTTCCCCAAAAAAAAAATTAGATGGGGAATCCTCTAATCAGGCTACGTGATCATGACTGGTGGGTTAGAACAGGTGGAACAGAGGTAGATTATGGTGTGCAGTAACACACGGGCTACTTTTTACCCGGGGAACGCGGACGAAGCCGCTGGCAGAAGCTCAGAAGCTAGTATTGAATAATGTCTGTAAACTTGTAACGCACTGTTGTACATTGTTGTACACGGACACGGTGTCAACTCAGGAACTTTTCAAATAAAACGAAAATCAAAGTACCCTTTAGTTTTCTTATAATTAACTTAGAAGTCCAAAAAATGAAAAGGGTGTATGAAGAATTCAACTTTGGAAGCTTGTAAAGGATTTTTTTGAAATATCAAATGTTTCAAACATAGATATAGTATAGGTATTTAGATTTAATATTAGACTTTGGAATATAGCTACAACAAGATTTATTTTGGACCTCTAGACCCACAAACAAAAATGTTAATTCGGGTTACGGGAAATATTTTGGGAATAAATTTCATTTTAATAAAGAAAATTATAATGTTTAAGTATGTTAAAACTACTTATAACTTTTGTGAGACATACTAAATTAATCGTAAAAATCTCGACAAGTTTCGTACTACCACTAGCAGTGCGACAGTCGCTGTGTCGCGCGGGTCGCAGAAAGCTGCTCATGAGCCTCTAGCATGGCTTGAAACTAGTCGATTTCCTTGTCAAATAATTACGTGAATAAGTAGAAAAATATAAATAATTAAAATCTTAAGTGACCAACGGTGACATTTTGGACGAATGGGTTTTCTTCGGGTAAAAGGTAGCTCATGACCTCCCAAAGCCCCCGAGTCACAGGCCAACGTGCGTAAGCAAAAATTAGTTAAAACGTTTTAATTTATTTTAGAAAAAATCAGTAATCATTATAAGCAATAATACAATTTCCGCGTACAGCATGCGTTAAAAAATTGCCAGAAGCTCTCCTGTGTACAAACATACAAATTCACATACATATGACACCCAGACCCGAAACAAGCGCGCGCGCGCTGCAGGTTCGATTCCGCGGCACGCTGCACTGCACCAACCGTGCAGTCAGATTTAGATGTACTCTTTCATAATTCATCTTAGAAAAATGGCGGCAACAGGCCTTTTTACCAATAATTTTTCCTGTACATTTTATGAAAAAAAACTTATACTATTTTAAAAATTAAGGGGCACCCAAACAAAAACGTTGTTTGGGACCCCGCAAACGTCAAACGTTTTTATACGAAGCCCCGCGCCCCGCCAAGCCTCGCTACGCCACTGACTGTACTTGTAAGGAGGATGGTGTAAGGTTTGCTGGGTGCACGACTGTGGCGCCCTCATTTATTTTCATGATCTATATATTTTGATTCCGAGACTACTTTTATGATATAAGTGTCATATCAAATTAATAGGTTGGTGAATAAGAGCTCATTAAGCTAGTTTTACATAGAAAAAATATGTATAATTGATTACTATAAACCGAGAGAACATAAAATCTATAAAAATAAATGTTGCATGAACGTATCTTTTTGTTTTGTGATATTGGCAGACGTGGAACTACCGGTTAGTTCATTTTCTACCTTTTTATTAATTTAGAATATTTGTTTTCCATATAACACTATAAAAACAAACGATTTTAATTAAAATTTTCAAATTTTATTTTAAACCAATATATTGTGCTGTGGTGAATTATCATGACTATTGCAAGGTTAAAAGTTATTTGGTTGATTCTTAAAGAAGGTTGGCTTGTGGTTCATGGCATGAAACTGTCAGTTTCTATGTGTGAGTTATTCAGTTGCATGTGTGCAAAAGAACACGCTTGTCGTGTTGCGGTACGTGTGCTTTCTACGAAATTGACTTTCATCGCCTCGTAAGTTTGTGAATTTCATTTATTATTGTGTATCTAGTGCGTTTATTGTTAAAAAGAAGCAGTGGCCATGCAAAAGTCTTATTGTTTAAGCAGGAAATAACTGAGATCAACTAAGATCATTCGATCGGATCGTGTCGATGCGTCACCTTTGTGAGCCATTTTATTCAACTTCTACATAATTGTAGCTGTAGAGTGAGACATATCTCGCACGTTCTACCGTGACCTCACGCGAGGTCAGAAGTAATGTCAAAATGCAAGTGGTAATTGATGGAAGAGGTAAAGTGCATTATAACCTAGCCGCTAAGATTTGGTTTGTTATCCGCTGAGGCGCGTTAGAAGGGCCGCGACTGATGGCGATCGCGTCTCCATGTTACCTGCTAACATTCCTACTCTCGCCTGACATTACTTCTTGCACGCGCGTACTGTTAACGGTATTTTTACTTAGTTGTGGATGGTACCTTCTTGCAAAAAATATTTTTTGTCTGTTCAATAATATTGGCATTATGCTAACAGACTAGTGAATGTGTATTGAATCTTTTGTTTGATAAAAAGGGCATAACGTAAACTTTATCAGTATTTTTTTAAGATAAGGAAACATAATAGAAATAAAAATTAAATTGTTTTATTTAAAATTTTATCTTGTACCCATTGGTCTGACAATGTAATCAAATTGAATTATTTGCTATAAAATTAATGTATTATATGTGTACTATATTGCTTCATGGTGCATTAAATAACTTTTTTATTGTAGGCTTTTTCAAATAATACCTATTTAAACACAATATGAGATTAATAATCTTGTTGAATAACTTATTAAGTACAATAAAAGAAAAAGTAATATAATTATAATGATCTGATGCTAACTTAACTTATCCCTGTTACTGTAGCTGCAGTCTACTCAACCTGCTACCAATAGTTGTATTGTTGTTTGTTGTATGTTGGGCTGACACAATCCTATCCAATATTATTGATGCCAACATGCTCATAGCTCTCAGATCTGATAATGTTGATCGTACAACTCTTATAAAGAATCCTGAATGAGGAATGAATACTTTTTTTGCAAAATAAATGCTTTTCAATACAGGTCTCACATCAAACTAATATTTACATGGTCCAAATTCCATTTGTGGAATTTCTAGTTTATGTTTAATATATTATATATTATGGGCTCTATAGACACATGATGAAAGACATTTTGAAAACTAAGACTGCATAATATCATAGTAGTTTATGTACACTTGGTGTGTTGTTAATAAAAAAAACACTCTTTTCTTCCTTGTTAAGAAAAATCCTCTGGTGACACCAACATTACTGTTGGAATCGAGGTTATCTTATGGTGGTACTCTCAATTTCATTATTTTCTATCTCTACTTGTAAGTAACTTTATGATTTTGTCCTAAAAGAACATAATTTAAGTGTTAGAAATAACATGCAAAGATAAATCAAATCAATCATGAAAACCAGTAATTGGCTTTTTGTTACATACCACATTCTATTCAATCAAATTGTATAGCTGTTGGTTTTCCAAATATATAAATAAATAAATAATATATACTTTTTTTCATTATAATAAGTATGAACTGGCTTGCTCAGCGAACATTATAATGCCCTGTCATAAAAATGACCAATCTGTGAACCTAAGCAATGTTTCGTGTCATGCACTTTTTTATGAAACTTATCTAGGTATGAAGTCTTTTTACTTCACTTACCCAAGTAAGTTCATAGAATATCAAATAGCATCTATTTTTATTAAACAATATCTAAATATTTCAATATAATAATTGTAATCCACAAAATTTATACGGAATAGAGAAGAATTAGCAGTTAACTCAATTCCTTTCAAGTCAAGAATTTTTGTAAAATAAGGGGTCATTCATTAATTATGTAACATGAATTACTTTTGAAACGTCAACAAATACAAAATAAATAATAGTCTGTCAGTCCCTTCCCCATCCTTGTCACAGCTAGTCACATTTGTGAGACTCCCCTCCATAATGTGACGTCACATTTGTGAGACTCCCCTCCATAATGTGATGTCACATTTGTGAAACTCCCCTCCATAATGTGACGTCACATGTGTGAGACTCCCCTCCATAATGTGACGTCACATTTGTGAGACTCCCCTCCATAGTGTGACGTCACATGTGTGAGACTCCCCTCCATAGTGTGACGTCCCATGTGTGAGACTCCCCTCCATAATGTGACGTCACATTTGTGAGACTCCCCTCCATAATGTGATGTCACATTTGTGAAACTCCCCTCCATAATGTGACGTCACATGTGTGAGACTCCCCTCCATAATGTGACGTCACATTTGTGAGACTCCCCTCCATAGTGTGACGTCACATGTGTGAGACTCCCCTCCATAGTGTGACGTCCCATGTGTGAGACTCCCCTCCATAATGTGACGTCACATGTGTGAGACTCCCCTCCATTGTGTGACGTCACATGTGTAAGACTCCCCTCCATAGTGTGACGTCACATGTGTGAGACTCCCCTCCAGTGTGACGTCACATATTTGAATTACAGTATAGAAACGATTTTTATTTCGACTTAAATTACAAAATAATTATTAATGTCAAATCAAACAATTAACAAAATAAAATCATTAATACAATTATATTTCGTATTTTAATGCAGACTATAATAGTTTTTTAAATGTGACATCACAAAGTTTTGGATTCCTCCCTCCCCATTGTCACACAATGTCACACTTCATCGACCCCTCCCTCCCTCCCCTTAAGTTGTGACGTTATTTCTAATATAATACGACCATAATAATATAATAATACCATAATACCATTAAGATGTTACATCCCTATTGAATCTTTAATCCAATATGTACCAATGTAACTATAACATTACATTTATTTTTCTATGGAACCAATTCATCACCAAATAAATAAACTTAAAATTTATTTCATTTTTTCAACTCTTAGGAATTGTATAAATTACCTACGTAAAGTAGGTACTTCACCTATTAATATCACTTCCATTCCATTCCGCGGCGGTGTATACGAATTTCTTTATAAGCTGATTTTGGAATGGTTTCCTTTTAATAAAATATTTTGAACGTATCTCTAAGTTCGTAAAACTTACGTAAGTACAGTTTATCCATGTTAAATAGTTCATAGTTTAGATTATGTTCCTCCTAAAAATGAAGATGTAGGTATTGGATAGTAGAAAGATCGAAGTTGTGACGCAAAGTGGTGTAATTGGGTAGGCAGGAAGGTTTAGTAGGTCAGGTAGGTGGTGTCGGGTCAGGCCGGGGCCTTCGCGTGGCAGTTTTTGTGCATAGCCGCGGTGCGCGGGCGCGAGGCGGCCTTTCGGCGAATCTGGGTCAATGTAGCGGCGAGGTACAGGCGCCGGCCGCACTACTCCGCTAGGGACTACGCTCCATCGAGCGCCGAGCACCGAGCTCCGCGAACTAGGTCGCGCCTCCCGCCTGTCCGCACTGCTTGCTCTCTTTATGCATTGCGACCTTAACTTGCACGCTTGTCAATTAAATAGAACACGTAGCCTCACCATGTTGATTAGTAAATAATAATATGTTGGAAGTAATATTCTTATGACTTTTATTTAGTTTCGTTTATGTTCAACATATTTTATAAAGGTAATATATTTTATAATATAATATTCTTATGACTTTTAATACAATACCTATCTTTTTAACTGTATGTGGTTCATGATCATAGACAGACGTAAAAAATCTTTTCGACAAGGGGGGCCGCGCCGTCTCTCCACCCCAGAGTACACGCAGAGGTTATAAGTATAGACGGCAAGGGCGGTCAGGACGAGAGAGGTGAAAGTCGGGCGAGGGTGCGTACTAGCTGCAGTGGGTCAATGACCGACCCGGGATGCCGGGGGTGACGCCGCGGTCGTAGCACTTGTCTCTTGTACCTCCAATGAGTTTTCGGTAACAATAGAGATAGGTACAGTACATGAAAAAATATTAGAAAAAAAGATGAATTGATATAATTATACATATTCAACAATCACATCAAGAAAAATATTCCAAGAATATTTTTGTTTGGCTAAGAATTATAATTTCTAATTAATTTTATTTTAAAAACCACGGGATTTTTTGTAAATATCGTCGTTTGTTTATCGATTATACTGTTACATTTTTATCGCATTTCAATCTTTTTCTTCATCATGGATACTTAAAAATTCAAATAATTATGGAATATGAGTAGGTACCATAACGGCAGCAACGCGGCAGAAGCGGTATGCAACATTAACGACGTTTACGGAGCTAACACTACAAACCAACGCACCACCTGCTATTGGTTTGCTCGCTTCCGTTCTTGAAATTTCAATCTGAAAAATAGTGCATGCATGGATTATGGAAGCTGATGATACACAATCTACTAATTCATTTGCGTCAAATTGGCTACGTAAAAAAGCTTGACAAATGGGTGCTCCACTAACTCAATGATCGCCAGCGCGATGTAGGTACGTGTCGAGACGTGATTTTCACTGCTTAACAGACACACAAATAAGGGAATTTTGAACCGCATTGTTATCTGCGATGAAAAATGGATTCTGTTTGGTAGCCGTAAAGAGTCAGCAAGTTGTTTGGACCCTGGTTCAGCACCTAAACAATGCCCTAAACGGAAACTTTATCCCTAGAAAAGTGATGGTCACTGTTTGGTGGTCTAGAGCCGGTGTGATTTATCACAGCTTCTTACCAAACGGGGTGAGCATTACTTCAAATGTGTACTTTAAAGAACTGAACACATTAATGGAGAAGCTGGCACATCCCCAACCAGCATTGGTCAATCGCTCGTCTTCGCTGCTCCTGCACGACAACGCGGCGACCTCATACTGCACGGCAGACGGTCTCTAAGCGAGAACTGGAATTGGAAGCTCTCCGTCATCCGCCCTACTCACCAGACCTTGCGCCTCTTTTTCCAGAATTTGGAGAAAATAATTCAATACCGGAGAGGCAGTAAAAATTGCCCTTGAAGAATTTGTTGCCTCCCGGCCAGCTGATTTCT